CATTGATGATTTGGAGGACTCTTACCAGAACAACTAAAAGTCAGTACGAATAAGTATGCAGATGACTGCACACAACACCAAATAGTGAGCGTAGATTCTAATAGTAATTTACAACAATCTATCAATGAAGTAAATAACTGGGCGGTGTTAAATAAAATGGCAATTAATGCTAAAAAAACTAAGGACATGTGGATCTCTATCACGGGCGCTATACCTGAACCACCACGTCTTCGTATTGGAAATGAGTTAATAGAAAGGGTCAACGCTTTTAAATTACTTGGCGTGTCGTTCCAAAATAATCTAAAATGGAACGCACATGTTGAAGAGATTACACGTAAAGCAAATAAACGCCTTTACCATCTTAGAGAATGCAGGAAATCGCAGTTACCAGCTGAAGTCGGTATTATTACCTATCAATCCAAAATAAGATCAATTCTCGAGTATGCATCACCTGTCTGGGCGGGAGTGCCTAATTACCTGCGAGATGAAATAGAGCGGGTTCAATCCAGGAGCTTAAGAATCCTTGGCCTGGAAAAAGATTACCTACCACCGCTGAACGAAAGAAGGGAAGAGGCAACTAGTCGAGAAGTTGATAGGTTTATGAACGATCCAAACCATCCCTGTCGCAGTGTTTTACCAAAATTAATTAACAATCGGTACTATTTAAGGAACATTGACCGGAATCGCAATATATCATTCTTCTCAGGAACTGAAAGGCATAAACATTCTTTTTCAGGAAGAGCTTGTAAATATGTATAAATAATTTTAACTTATTGGAAGAACTTACTAGTTTAAAGAACTTATTAGTTTTAACTTCTTAGTTAGCTTTCTAAACTATCTTACAACAATTTGTAATATAAAGACATACCCACAGCATATATACTTTCTTAAACAAGTAATTGTAAGTCCATTGTACTTTTTTATCTTAAGATGGATGAATAAAGCTATTATTATTATTATGTAAAGAATAGGTATTTATTTTTGATAGAGTTATTGGGTGTGACAAAGCATATTTCCCCAGTATTTTTTCTAAATTCTTAACGCTGGAGGATGTTATGAATGAATAAGCAGGATGCGATCAACCTTTAGCAATAGCTACCATATCGATCACGTGATTTAGATAGGACAAACTGAATGTAACTGCTACTTATAACAAACAGTAAGCATGAATATTAGCTTTTGATCATGATAAAGTTCTTATGTATGAAAAACCCAATTTTTTGCGACGCTGAATATGAATATTGAGCAAAATACGATCGACTTTTTTAAATGGCTGCCATCTTGATCACGTGACAAACACGTGATCGCCCTATAGCTAAAAATGTTTGCCTTTACATGTTGTGCAGTTGTGCCAAGTTTCATGTTTGTATCATTAAACGCACATTGCCTTCGCCTGTCTGCTGGACTATGTAAGTCGCGACTAAAATAAGGGGTTTATGCTGGTTTAAAATAAGTCGCATCAGTAAATAGCCCTTTTGTGTTGTTCGTGCTGTGTTATAATTTTTATGAAAATTTTTTTTTGTACCTCTAAGGATAATAAAACCAAATTGTCTCTGTCATACTTAGGTAGCCGGAATGGCGGCATTTTTCATTGTGACAAAAGGTAAACATCCCTTTGGAGAAAAACCAGACCGACTTCGCAACTTACTTGATGATAAACCAGTTGGCTTGCATGCGCTGAAGAATCCTATCTTGAAAGATTTATTATCGTGGATGCTGAGCCACGATCCCAATGATAGACCGTCGGCTGAAGAAGCGCTAAAACACCCTTACCTTCATCCCAAGAAACAGCAGTTTGAAATGTTGTGCAAAATGGGAAACCAACAAGAGATCAAGGCAGGCGAAAGCAACTCAGCTGTCGTACGAAGGTTGAATAGTGACCCCACAGATTGGAAAACTCGGATGAGCCCAAACGTTCTGAAGTATTTATGTACTGATTTCAAGAGCGGGAAACCAAAACCATTTTCTTATAAGTCGTCGTGGACAGACTGTTTACGACTTATCCGAAATGTCAACCAAAAATGGCTCGACCGATCACGTCCTATGCCGCAACCCGAAGCATTCTATGAAGTGGGTAATCCCCAAGAGTACTTCCTTAACCTCTTCCCCAATCTTCTTGTCGAGGTGCACAGAATTGTCAGGTCCTGTGATTGGAAGGAGCGACCAGACCTTAAGGAGTACTTCACTAAAGGTATACAGTATGTGTAATATACATGTTCACAAAAATGTTGTTCCGAACGTAAAAAATAGACGCTGTTAACCAATCAGTTGCGAAGTTAATTCTAAACCTTTCTAGTATCATATATTGTCTCTTATAGAAAAATGCTAGAAATTTTTCCATGCAGCACCCCTCGCCTTTGTTTTCCCCAAATTGTTTCAACGTGAAGTATTCCGAATCGTGCAAACACGAAACGCTTCGTAAAACGTTTTTAAACTTGTGTTCATTCAACTTAACTACTTTTTAGTGCAAAGTTGCTTTGCACTATTGTTATGGCTGAAAATTCAATCGAGTGAGAGATCAATAAAATGATAGAGTAAGCAATACAGAGGAGTTTGCAACGAATCTTTTCTATTGCGTTACGTATAGCTTTTCAACGTTCGGGCAACATAATTGTTTATACATTTTCAAAATTAAAGTCTATATTTTAGTCATAATGGTACATGTTCTGTCTTATATCATTCAACATCTAGAGAAGCTATAATCAAATCAATACTATATCTATATTAATTTTTAGGGGTATTTTGCGTGGGGGGATTCCCCCCTCCCCCCCAAATTTCTGAAATTCCCCCAAATCTGAAAATAACTAAATTCTGGGGGGGGGGGTAGAGCATTTCCCTCCAGTTGCAGGTAATCCTACCTTTTTAATATTTATTATTTAATTTAATAATTTTTTTAACATATTCAGGTGCAAATGAAGAGAGGAATCCAGGGAATGCTGTTGTAATTCAGGAAGGAGAGCCAGCTGCAGGTGACCCTTTTAAATATTTTTATGTTTCCATGAATGTAGTTATTCTACGCCTGACACACGTATGACATGTGCGCTATGGTTGTCGTGGCACTAAAAAGTTATACAAACTTTGCATGCTTCGCGTAATATTATGGGGATAGAGGTATAGCTGTGTCCCACCTAAAACGAAATGTATTTAACGGAGATCAGTAATGAAAACGTTTTACGTTTTGCACGCGCGCTCTTTTATAATGGAATGTTATAGTTTTTGCAATGGGTATTACAAGCTTTATCATATTCATTTTGAAATCTTGTGCAATCTGATTGGCTAAAAATAGTGCGATTTCACCCCAAATCTCACCATTTTAGAGCTGTAATCACACTATTTTGAGCTTTGCCTTCATCAGCTAGCATGAGTTAATTGCAATAGCATCATTTTTAAACCAATCGTATCGAAGTGGTGACCTTAGCTAGCCAATCAAGGGAAAGTGTAGAATTCACTTAGCCAGTCAATTTTAGAAAAATGTGATCTGGCAAATTGAGCAAAATAAATAAATCAGAATAGCTTTGGCTAATTTAAGTTGCGATTTGTTTCGCCTCTGGTTAAACTCGACTCGTTTTCTATTTCTTAATTAATAATTATTTAATTCGAGAATTTTTTAACATATTCAGGTGCAAATGAAGAGAGAAATCCAAGGAATGCTGTCGTAATTCAAGAGCGAGAGCCAGCTGCAGGTGACCCTTCTAAATATTTTTATGTTTCCGTGAATGTAGTTTTTCTACGCCTGACACACTTTATGACATGCATGTGCGCTACGGTCTGTCGTGGCTCTAAAAGGTTATGTAAACGTTGCATGCTTCGTGCACCATGTCAGGGATAGAGCTAGAATCACGTGCAAAAATTATTGAGACAAGCAGTTTAATGGTCCCTTCGCCCCTATAACAAGTGGTTCTTGCCCCCCCTCCCCCTTTTGCAATGTTGTTAAAACAATTTTGAGGCAAGGGTCATCTAATAATATGTTTTCAACATTGTTAATGGGGGGAGGGAGGCATACACATGAAAAAGATCACAAAAATGTGAAGAGTCTCATTATTTTTGCACACGATTGTCTTAACAGACGCCTGTATGGGATCCCAAACTTAATTTAATTTGTACCAAAAATTGAAATTGACCCATTCTCGAGCAAAATTTTAAATTTTTCCCGATTTAAGCCCAGTGATGTAGTTGTCGTGCGAAACTTGCAAAAAATTGGACAAGAGAGACGCAGAACGGGGGACTGGGTACGAGTAAACAACCATTTTGAATTTATTTGAATTTGTTGTCGTTTACGCACGAAGGTGAAATATTACTGGCGAAGTATTGGAAAATTCAAACCAAAAGGACAAAGCTGTGCCCGGCAAAAATCGAAAATTGTTTTAAACTTTGAGAATATATCTTAATTGTGCATTAATAAGAGGTAAGATTGTGCTAAATTGTTTAATATGGCTAAATGTTTCTGATCAATAATAATGTGATGGTCAACAAAAGCTTCACTGTAAATACAGCAATTATACAAAGTTACTTGTATTATTTACAGAGTATGTACCAGTCTGAGAGTGACACAGATGATTTCCAGGTCAATTCTTTAGCCTCTGCAAACCAGATACGAAAAACATACCTGGTCACGTACAGCCAAGCAGATCTCCGAATATTTCCAACGAGGCAAAGTTTCGGGGAGCAAGTGGCTACCTACTTTGACGAAGGAACGGGAAAAGTTAAAGTCGAGCACTGGGCTTGTTGCCAAGAGTCACATGAGAACTCTGGTGTACACTATCACATGAGCTTGAAACTCGATGGAGCGAAACGATGGAAACAAGTGAAAGAAAAGATGATGAAAAACCATGTGGTTGTGCTGCACTTTTCCAACGCGCACGATAATTATCACTCGGCATATCAATCTGTCACGAAGCAAGACACGGAAGTGTTTTTAAGTCCCAATCACCCCAACCTTAACGTAATCGGTTCTCCTAGAACCAAAACATGTATCCGTGCATTTCGAGAAAGTCGAAAACGCAAACAAAACGAGAATGCAAATGCCCAACAAGAAAAGGCTAAAAAAATAAGACGTCTCAGCAATTTCGAAGTCTCCGAATTTTTGGTGGCAAATCAAATAAAAAGTGAAACCGAGCTACTTGCACTTGCAGACACTCAAAGCAAAGAAGGGAAGAAAGACTTAGCCAATTTTATTTTGTGTCGCTCAAACAAAGCCATCCAAGAGCTTATTGATAACACCTGGCGCTTGCAAAATGCACGGGCTAAGCTTGATAGGAAGAAGAAGTCGCGTATAGACTTGCTTCGTGATGCTCGCAGTGCTGAGTGCGTCGATGGCTGCAACGGGGAATGGATCAAGTGTGCACGGGAGGTCCTAAAGAACAACAACATCCATCCTGTGGTGTTTGCTTCGGCGTTGAAAGATATTTTGACCAAGGGAAGGGGGAAATTCCGAAATGTAATGCTCGTTGGCTGTGCGTGTAGTGGAAAAACCTTCTTGTTGGATCCTCTGTGTCTCCTCTGTGTCGGCATCTGACAAGTATGCATGGGTGGGAGCGGAGGAAAGCGAGGTAATCTACCTCAATGATTTTCGATGGAGCTCAACTCTCATCTCCTGGAAGGACTTCCTGCTACTTCTCGAGGGACATATTGTACATTTGCCTGCCCCGAAGAACCAGTACTCGAGCGACGTTTGCATTGACACCGACGTTCCAATTTTTGCCACTTCAAGCAACCCAATTGTCTACCACGGCAGGAACGGACAGATTGACGAACGCGAAACAGAAATGATGTCTGTTAGGTGGAGGGTCTTTGAGTTCACCCGAAAGATCCCGCAGGCGGAGCAGAAAGACCTGTCTCCGTGCCCACGCTGTTTTGGCGAACTGGTGTTTTTGGACGAACAGTTTTAACTTTTTTTGTGCAGCCAGCATTGTACGTTTACTATCAGATAAATATATATGTAAGAATAGTTAACACGTTACGCACACGTTACGCACACGTTACGCACACGTTACGCCACACGTTACGTTTGAGTTTATATAGAATAGTAATGAAAACCGACACGTTACACACGTTACGCCCATTCTTATAAAGGTAGAACAGATCTTCCTTTAATATATTAGGCGTAACGTGTGTAACGTGTCAGCTTTCTATATATTCTTATATGCTGAAAGGCGTAACGTGTGCGTAACGTGTGCGTGACGTGTACGTAACGTGTTGAAATTGAGTTCTATTTAGTTTGTATACATATATAAGGTCTTTAAAATTATTTTTACGGTTGACAACAAGTTGTTGAGTTTTCGCATAGCATTTTATTGAATATATATGGACGGTAAAAGAGTTTAGTTAATACATTAGTAGTAATATAGGTACCGTTCGACCCGGATTTTTGTGGTGGCGTGTGGTGGCGTGTGGCGGCGTGTGGTGGCGTGTGGTGGCGTGTGGTGGCGCGGGGCGGCGCATCATCATTAGCATAGATTGTGGTGGCGCATCATCATTAACATACGTCATAATTATATACAATGACGTCACGCGGGCGAGCTTAAACACGATCGGGCGAAA